AACTCAAAACATATTTCACACTCGTATCATATCAAACACATAACTCAAAATTCAATAAAAAATTATTTTCAAACCTTATAACCAATACATAATTCGAAATTTCACATTATTTTCAAAATTCTACATTCAAATCATACCAAACACATAACAAAAAAAATTAAAATATTTAAAATATATTTATAAAATAAAATAAAATATCTATAATAAAAATTATATATTTAAAATAAAAAAATAAAATTTTTCATTATTTAAAAATATATTTAAAATATTAAAAAAATGCACACATAAATATTTATTTATTTATTTTAATGTGCATTATATTTCATACATTTTTGTGTTATATTTTTTTAATATTTTAAATATTAAAAAATTTAAAAAAATTAATTTTTTATTTTAAATATAATTTTATTATAAATATTAGTTACAAAACAAATGTTTTATTTTTTTTGACAAAAAAAATTACATAATAAATATATAAAGTATAGAGTAAGTGGAGGGGAAGGGGAAAAATTGAATTGAATTTGAAAAAAAGCAAGTGTTTGGAGATGTAGGGGGAAGCAAGTGTTTGGAGATGTGGGGGATTGAATCCCGTATCTCTATTACTATTTGAGCTACCTCACTGTTTTCTTATATTTTAATTACAAAACAATTTCATATAAAAGCGTGTTTGTGAGCAACGTTTTTTGAAAAAAACAAAACTTATTTCATAAAGCGTGGTTGGAACAACGGTTTTGGGAAAAAATTTTTTTATTTAAAACGCTTTCTGTATAAATCAAATTTCCTTAAAAATGTGATTTGTAACAACGTTTTCTTAATAAAAGCGTGGTTTTGTAACCACACTTTTATTATTTTACAAAATTTTTGCGGTTGGGCTACAAAAACGGTTTCTAACCACGTTTTAGCGCTCGTTGGGAATTTCCATCCAAACTAGACCTAGTTTGGGAAATAGATTGTTTATTTTGTCTTAATTTGGGAAAAGCCCCCGGAGGTTAACTTTCAGGCATTCTGCTCTTTTATTTCCCAGCATTTTGCGTCTTTCGATGTTAACATCTATATCTATTCTATATATTAAGTAAAATGGAGGGTTTTTAACTCCCAAGGCCTGTGAGAGCTTTAATATTCCAATCTGAATTTTTTAATTTTTTTATTTTTTATCTAAAAAAAACTCAGCATTTATTGATTTGGTCAAAATTCTCTGATCAGCATTTATTAACTTTTTGTCAAAATATTTTGATCAACATTTAAAATCCCCTCATACAAATAATTATAGATACAACTGCAGTATCTTTTTCAACTTTTTCCATATACTATGGTTAATGATAAGATTGTTAAATTATTTTTATAAAAAATCTTAAAAAATATAATTTATATATTTAAAAAAAATCTAAAACAAATATAATATCTATAATTATCCCGTGCGTAGCACATGTGATAGATTAGTTTTATCTTATGGAAATGTTATGGGTTTTAAAATTTTTTACTAAATAAATGATTAAATGTTTCTCCTGATGTGAGATATTTAGAAATTTATTTAGTAAAAAATTTAATATCTTTAATATTACTTTTTATCTTATTTACGAGGAATTATTCTGTTTTTTAAGAATTTTATTTACAAAAATATTATTAATTTTATTTGGTTTGAATTTTTAGAATTTACTTTTCAGAAAATTAATTTTTTTACATTTTTATTGAATTTTTAATATTTTAAGTAATTTTTTTTTATTTTTTAAATACATCTAATATAAATATATTAAAAAGTATAATATTTGTGAAAATAATTTTTTAAAAATTTACTAAATACTAAAAATATAAACAAAAATAAGAGAATTTTAGTACATTTTTCATATTTTTGATATTTATTAATTTTTTAAAATAATTTTTTATAAATATTTTAATTTTTAAATACATCTAAGTAATGTGCATTTAAAAAAGTAAAAGAATTGTTTAAAATTTTAAAAATATTCACTAAAAATATAAAAAAAAATCAAAAAATTAAAAATTAAATTTTCACAAAATTGAAACTATAAATGCACTGATTCTGTCTTTCAGGAACTATTTCAAATTTTTTTTTATTAAAATTTCATAATTTTTTTTTTAATTTTCACCTCTATTTCATTTTTTTTTTTGTTTTTAAAATATTTTGATATCTGCTCAAATCAAGTTTTATTTTCTCATTGTGACAAAAAATTTTGCAACTTTTTTTCTCAAATTCAACGAAGCCCATTTGAAAGTGATTTTTTTAGTTTTTTTTTTTTTGGAACCAAAATTAGTGTAAAAAAAAAATTTGAAAAGAGTTTTCAAAATTTGACAATTTGTTTGATTTTATATTTTGAAAATATTTTTGTAATGGAGTTTTGTAGTTTGAGATGATTTGGAGTTTTTGTAGTTGAATAAATGGATATGAGAGAAAAAAAATAATTAATTGATGTGTAAGAGTGAGAGAATGAGAGAATGGAACAAAATTATTGATTGATGTGTAAAATATGAGAGAATGAAAGATGAGATTAAAAAAAAAAAAAAATTGATTGAAAACTAGTTTGGTTTAGTTTTAAAACGAGTTTTGAGTTATATTTTAAAATGTAAATGTTTTGAAAAAAGTTTTGAAAGTTGATAATTTGTTTAGTTATTAGTTTTGAAATAATTTTAAAATGATTTATAAGGATTTTTTTTTAGTTGAATAGATAGTTGTGCAAAAAATTTAATTGATTGATATATAAATATTAGAGAAATGAAAGAAGAGAGAGCAGAAAGAAGAGGGAAAAGTAATTGATTAATTTATTAATAATAAATATAAAAGAGAGGAGAGAGGAGAGAGAAAATTGAGTTTTGAGTTGTATTTTAAAAATTTTGTTAACGAAACAAACTTTTTTATTTTTGGTGAATTACACTAATAGTCCCTAATAGTTTGGGACTTGTGTCATTTTTGGTCCTAACTTTTCAATTGTGACACCATTTGACCCTGAATTTTGAATCTTGTTTCAAATAAGGACAATTAAAAATATCATTAGATTTTTCAAGGATAAAATCGTCAATTTGATAAAATATAAACTAATTTGACAAAAATAAATGTCAAACAAATATTTTTGAATTTTTAAAAAATTATTTCTACCTATAAAATAAAATTATGTAAAATTGATAAATCTTTTAGACATTTATTTATTTATTTTTACCAAATTAATTTTTATTATGTGTTTAGACGATGATCATGTAAAATTAATTTTTAAAAATTAATCATGTAATTTTTATCAATTTTACATAATTTTATCATTGTGGATAAAAATAATTTTAAAAAAATTAAAATATTTTTTTGACATTTGTTTTGTCAAATTAGTTTTATATATTAAATTGATGATTTTTTCCTTAAAATTAAACAATAGTATCTTCAATTATCTTTATTTTTAATCTAAATCATGTTTTAAAAACTAAACCAAATTTATGTGTTTTGAGTTCTCAAAAAAATAATTTGAAAATTAAACCAAAGACAACAAATATGTTTGGAAGGATAATTTGACATTTAAAAAAAATGCAAAAAAGTAAAATGAATAATAAGAAATTTTTTACCTTTTTTCTATGAATTGAAAATATGTAAACTTCTTATTTTTGGTTTTTTTTTTGTTCACAATTGTTGGGGGCATTTGTTAAGAAGTCTCTAGATGGTGTCAATGTATATTATTTATGAAAAAATTAGTTCATTCAGTAATTGCAATTTTTATATTTTATCGCTTTTGTTTTTGAAACAATAGATAATAAAATATATTTTTGAAATAGACCCATTTATTTCAAAAAATGATGATATACGAATTGACTTAAATTTTTCCATAAATGATATATATTGGTGTTCATACAAAATAAAATGATTTTGATTATCGAAACGAGACACATAATAGACTCCACAACTCTCAAGTTTTCCAATGTTGAGATTTCAACATTAGCGAAGCTCAACCCTATTAAAAATGTATTAACGTCTTTACTATTATAGAAATTGAAAAGGCAATAAATGTATTGTACTAAAGAACTCAAAATATTTTTCTTATAAAACTTTCATTTATTAAGGACACATAGAAAGTTTGTCTTGAAAAGGTTA